GTTTGTGTATTTTCTAATGACATAATTGGTAGTAGTAATGCAAATAATTCTGGTTATTTGGTCATGCAAGCTTCTCAATTTGTTTTACTTCTTACAATTATATATTATTCATGTTGCATTAGTATATGCAGTGTTTATCTATAATTGCAACAAGCACTTAATTAATTACACTATAACCTCTTGAATCAATAGGCCAACTGTTGCATCTTCAGTTAATATTTTAAAGTCTCCTCTTTTACCATTTTCCCCGTGTCTTTGATGTTTTGTTTCCTACCCTTCTTGTTCGGATTCTCTGTGGAATAGTCTCAGAATAATTCTGCAGTTTTCTTTTATGACTGAAACTTTGCATTTTAACAGTTGTCTGGAGATAGTTTCTTCCTTGTGAAATATCAGTTTTAATAACGAGAAAAGAAAAATGCCATAAATCTGCACTAACCACATAAAGCTGAAGTCTCAGAGAGACTGATTAACATTGAGACTCTACACAGGTTTTTCAATAATTAGAGGATGTGCTTGCATGGAGCCATGACTGCTCTGGCCTTGATGCCATTTCCCAGGGCAGGCAGCAATTATTACAGCCCACAGTACATTTCCTACATTCCCTGCCTCCAGCCACTGAAGATCTTTTAGGAGTAAAGGTCTCTTAATTTTGCACACCCTTGTCATCAGCCTGGATTAGCAACTTATTTTCATTACTTTTTTTTCACTTGGGGTAGAGATAACTGACAGCTGCTTTTCTGATGCAAGATGTTTTTTCCACCTGAGGTTGAGAAGATCGTGATCATTGCTTGGATTGTATTAACACGGTAGGTGACACGTTTGGCCTTTCCAGCAGAGCTGCTAGAACCAAACTATTTCTCCGTCTGTGAGCTCAAATGAGTAACCCACGCTCAGCACTCATAAGCTTTGTGCTGAAATAAGTTTATTTATCGCTCACAGATTTTTACCACGTCCATGCTTCAAAAATGAATTATTCAAAGGGGTGAAGGCTCTTTCTTCTATGATACAGTATCTTTACGTTGTCTATATATACTCCATGGGCATTTCAATTAGAGTTTCAATGTAGCATAGCAGCACAAACTATAAAGTGACTCACCTAATATTAAACCACCAAAATTTTATTTTCTTGAGGCTAGTAAATTAAAAGTTAGGTGGTTAAATTTAAGTGACTATATTGCTCTCTACTTATACAGGTGAAAACCTGCTGGAATTGTCAGTAGGGAGAGAACGTCCAAAATACTTTTTGTAACAGAACATTGGATTGGGGTGTATAAGATATGGGATGCATGTATAAGATATGGCAGCTTTGGACAGTATATCTGTAGAGTTTGGGATTTCACTCCCAGTCTTGTGGCACACCTCATAATTTTCATCTTCACCTAAAGTCTATCTGTTCATGCCAAGCCTTCTGCAGTGTTAGTTAAACACAGTAAAATAAGTAGGGACAGAAAAGCCACAAAATCTGCCTCTCAGCCGTAACTGACTGTGTGGAGGCTTCACGAAGGCTGCTGTAAATGCAGCAATGTCTCCAGCTGGCACAGACTAAAGGATGTGGAAGGTGGGAATTCTCGAAGCTGCTTCTCATCCCCACACCACAGGGCGCAGGCGGGTCCCCCAGCCGGCGCAGCTCCCGCTTGCCCTCCCCGAGCACGAGGCGAAGGCTGCGGCAGCGGCAGCGGCCTCGCTCGTGGCGTGCGCCCGCGCGGCCTGAGCTGCAGCGGGCGCTGCGATGATGAAACGTGTCCAGGAAGAAGAGAGCAAGGAATGTTACGGAATTAGAGAGAGGAACAGAATCCTTCAGAAAATGAAATGTACGGAAACTGATGGCTTTTGAAGATAGTTACACAGATGGAAACAGGAGAAGAGAAAGAAAAAAACTTTGAGAGAAAAAAAAAGTGAACGTAGAGGGAACTATAACTGAGGATACAGTGCTCCGAGATCAGTGTGGCTACGTCCATGGCAGCGCATGGCAGTTTTGAACTGGCTTTTCATTCTTAGCTCTTTTTGCTAGGATAGGTTTGAGTTCTGAGCTGGGAATCCTGTGGTGAAGTGCACCATGATATTCCTGCAACATGTTATTCCTGCACGTGTTAAAGAGATGTTCAGTCTAGCACCACTTGCAAACATTTTTTTCTGACATTTTTCTTAAGGGTGAAAAAAAATTCAAGTAATTCCTTTTAGCAGATGATCTCAGCCACAAAGGCATTAATAACAGCAGCTGTGATTTGTTTGAGTATCGGGGAAATTGAGCTGTTCTACAGAACCTGCTGATATTTCTGCTTCATCCTTTCCTAAAAGAAAATGGAGGAAAGAAGCAGACTGCAAAATGGAGAGGGGAGCTCTTCCTCAGCCACTTCAGAAAAAAACGAGACTAACACTACTGCATCCAACAGAGATAAGAAGAGCTCTACGGCACCGAGGAAAGGGAGGGCCCCGACGTAGCAGTGCTTGGAGCTGACCTTTCGTGCAGCATCGCTGGAGTCGAGATGAAGGAGCTGCTGGTGCTGGAAAGCAGCAATGCTGGCTGAGAAGGCGGAGAATTCCAGCAGAGCGGGTAGACTGGAAGGAGAGAGGATAATGAGGTTTTTGTTTAAGGACCTCTATGTCCATTGCTGTGACAAATACTTTTATAAAAAAATCCATACTACTGTACACTTTAATAGACTATTTGCTGTGGAATACAATAGTTACTTACAGGTGTTAGAGGAATAAAGCAGGAAATTTGAGATGTTGGTATTCATAAAGAACATCCCAGGAAGACTCAGACACAGTAGCCACATCTGTAGGCAGGAAGCAGTGGTTGCTTGGCCCACTTCAAACCTGGTTTTCAAACCCTTAGAAAGGCACTGCTCCTGTGACGTGGATGAAGCCCTTTTAGTCTGAGACCTGGAGTGAGCTCCTGCTCCGAAGGGCTCCCCGCGGGAAAGGGCTCCTGCCTCTGCAGCCTGTGCCCTCCCCTTGTGCCTCCAAAGGTGTCTCCAGAAGGTGTAATTCCCTCTACTGTAATTTCTTTTCTTGGGCTTTGAATATTTGTGTGGCAACAGCTGCAGAAATTGAACCCACAATTTAACTCAATCTTGCAGAAATATTCTCCTTATTTAGTCCCTAAATACCTTTTACTCTTATGTTTTATGCCATTTAATTTAGTTGAGCCTTCAGAGTTATTTGCTTTTCTGTTAGCATATTTGGATCATTCTCTGAATTTAAAACTTTATCTCAGCTTTGACTCAGCTCTTCCTAACTGCTAAGACCATTTTTGAATTTATTAAATATGGTTTATCCCCTCACCAGTATGGAACCTGCAGTTCCATATACAGCCACTGTCTTAGAAAGTGGCTCTTTCGATAGCATGTCACCATCTAGCTGCCAATGAATTTCCAGATGGTCTTTTATATAAATTTCTTTTCTAAGGTGCAGACAGATTTCTTGTGTGTGTTTCATTTTTCTAGAAAGAGTGTTGGTTATCATAGGAGAGAGAGGTACCAAATATTCATCTGGCATTCATTTCTGCATTTGCAAGTATTATGCTTTTCCATTTATATATTCCAGATTCCAGTTGCTTATTTCCTCTAAATTAAAAATAGCAAATAAGTAATGTTCAGATACACGGAGCAGGATTCGCAGCTAGCATAAGATATGCCTCTTTTTTGCTGGCTGAGAACAAGGCCTGTATGACCTTTTTTTACTTGTTCGAATTTTTATCATACAACAAAGTGAAATTAATTAGAGGGTCTCATTTAGTCTTTAAATAAATAAAGTCAGAAAAACAAATGTTTCAGAGTTTGACTGTTAAAGAGCATTTTTATGAGATACAGCGCTTTTAGTATCAGAATGGTTCACATTACATTCCCCTTTAGTTGTTCTGTAATTATGGAAGTCCTATTTAATAATACTTGAATAATGAGTGTGCTAAACAGATTAGTTTTTATGTGTGTGTGTGTGTGTATATGTGTGTATATATATCTACATGTATAATATATATATAAAGGCATTTTTACATATGCACATAATGAACCTGACAGCTCATCACTGTTGTGTGTTACTGAGTTCCAGATTTTAACAGAATTTTAAAAGGGAATAAACATATTTATATGGTTCACAACAACCAATAAATTAGCTTAGTATTTAAATTGAGAGATATATTTTGCTTTGAAAAGGGGCATAGACTTTATTAGAACTGCTCAGATGATAAGCCAGCAGGTAAGTGGAAGTGCGAGAAAGAAAAACCTGCATGGCAGAAATGTGTCACCTCTCTGCTCTGCTCTGCGAGGCGCCTTCTGGCCCTTCACTGCTCAGAGGCAGGCTACGCACACACACAAACAGCTGCTTCAGCCTGATTTAGCAGCTCTTAGTTTGTGTTCTTATGGGGATAAACAAGCAGTACTACAGATGTGGCACGGAAAATGCTACAGTCAAAAATGATACTACTATGCTGTGGCATTTTTAGTGTAAAAATGATAATTAACAAAGCGTGTGGCCAAGCTCCTGCTGTCGATTCAGGTCGTCGGGATTCACGGTGGCAAGGGCAGTGCAGACAGGAATTAGCTCTGGTGGCCGAGGAGGCAGCTCTGAGCGCGGGGCCCGGAGCGTGGAGCCTGGGCCGGGGGCGCATGAGAGCCGCAGCTCCGCTGCTTGGCGGGGCGGGAGCAGGGAGGAGAGGGCCGCGCTCCAGGAGCATCGGACCACACGGATGCTGCGTGCCGGCTGCTCCCGCTCTGCCGGCCGCTGCGGCCATGCGCGGCGCTCCCGTCCTCCCTTGGCTGCGGCTCCGGAGCCTGAATGCTTCAGGATTCTGGCGAGTTTGTTTTCTCAAGGCAAAACAGGTAATGGTAGAGCTTGATGTTGAATGTGATGAAACAGACTGTCTAAATAGGCTCTTTCAGAAATAAGGGCAGGCAAGACAACATTAATACACCAGGGTAAAGCAGCGCTCGAGCCAGATTGATCGCAGGGTTCTGGAGAAGGAATAGTTAGAGATGAAGACTGAGGAAATTCTCAAGCTGTTCAGTGTTATCCAGGAAAAACCACGTCTGTCTGACAAGAGCGCTCTGAGCACTTGCAGAAACGAGGTAACTGAGGTCACATTTGAGGCTCTAGAAAAAAAGCAGATTGAAAGGAGCTGACTTGTTGTCAACAGAACCAGAAAAGCAAACAAAAAGCCCCCCCAAAACCAGAAAGGGGATGGAGGCAGACATTAGGTCACAGAAACAACCTGGTTCCGATGCACCTTTTGTAAGTATGACAGAAGAGTTTGATGTACAACAAAACATACACCAAGTATTTCAAAAATTATCAACAAAGCTTAATGGAAAATAGGCTAAATGCTTTCTGCACCACCACCTGCAGCCACTTTCTCATCAGTTTCACATCCAACAGCGCAGCTTGCACAGGCAGGTTTTCTGTACAACTTCCACACTGTGCTTGCTCAGTTTACCAGTCAAAACGGGGTTTTGATCATTTCAGCTCTGGAGATCCTGTCTAACAGATGCAAAACTGTATTCTCTTGGCTTCAGACATCGCTTCCAACAATAGAAAACAAAATTCAGATCCAAGAGTGCCATTTGTCAGTGCTGCTGAGTGCCAACCTCTGGTGCTTTAGGTAAAACCAGGCGTTCTATACACGCCTCTCCATAATTCCTAGCAGGCTTTTAGCAAAACAAGAGATTATGAAGAAGCCAGTTACAATATAGTATGACTTCTAAAATACCTTCTCTAAAATCCTTATTCATAGGCTAGAATAAAAATACTCTAAGGTGCTTAATACCAACGGGATGTAAAGGGTTGAAAATACAATCCTGCTACTTTAAAAGAAATTATATGTCCATATCTCACATACTACAGTCACCTTCGACAAGCACATCTAGAAAGGATTCATAAAGAGGAGACTTCTTCAAAGGCGGAGAAAATTATTAAGTATATTATTACTTAATCGTTCCCCATTGTAGCATGTACAACCCTCCAAATTATTTAAAATTACTACTTTTACTCATCATTGGTAGTCTGTTAGAGAAGGATCTTATTTTTTATTCTTTAAACATATTCTGCATTGCCAATTCCCTTAATTCTATTTATTAATATTTATTAATTAATGTCTTATTAATGTTTACTTGTTAAATATACTAAGGATTAAACATGGATAATTTAATGCTTACATTTTATTAATTTAGCTATAAAGTAATTTGATTTAAAATTTCTTACCTATATGAAGGCTGTTCTTCTTCCATGACCCCTTTGAGCTCTGTAACTCCATGAGCCTAACAACCTTAATTTACTCCAGGCTTTCCAAAACAACAGCCTTGAAAAAATTAAGGGGCAACTTCCTAAAGAAACAGAGAGACAAATATTAAGAGGCTGTAATTTTTTGTGTATGTGCTTCCGTATGCATATATATATATTTATATGCATACCTAATCATGGCTTTAATTGAAGTCTTTGCTGCTTAGATTTACGATACTGTATGTTTCCTGAAGGAAAGCTCCAACAGACAGAGGAAATGCTATTTTTACTGCATTCGTAGAAGTTCATTTATTTCTGTTTCATTTATTTCTGTTATTTGTGTGATTTATTTCTTAAGATGTGTGTGTATATTGGTTGGACACTCTTTCACACAAGTAGCTAAGGCCACCTGACCACACACAGACATTTCCTAATTCATTTGAAGTTATTAACACTAAATTTATTGATAATGTTCTGTCAATAGTTGCTGAGCAATTATTTTCTTTACAGTTTTTGATTGTAAGGAATCTCACCTCTAAATGGCCACCAAGGTCACACACTTTTTTATTCCCTGAGAGCATCAGTAAAACCTTTTCAACTGGATTTCTAATGTGAATATTTGTATTTTAGAGTGTCAGACCACTTTAGCATTTATTATTTATGCAAACACTCCTGTCATTTTTTTCTCATTCAGAATATTCATAGAAGATTAATACAAATACATGTGAATACAGTCAAATTATTGCTTTTAAATTTAATCTGTATTTGTGGATTTATCTTTTTGATTCTGTTCTCAGCCTGATTTAGTGGCTGATTTAGCAGATTGCCAGAGAATGTTTCTTTTTGCTCTCATTGGATTTTGGCATCAAAATCAAATCTGACCTTTCTGTGTTAAAATAATAGCTGAAGAAAAATCCCTGTATTAAATTACAGGGATGTGTCTTGCTCAGGAAATCCACGCCGAGTTTCTGTACTGTGTCACGCTTTGTTTTAGCTCCCCGACAGGCACATTTATGAGACCTTGCAGTTTTATATTCCTAAGAGAGGATGCAGGGAGGATGGAAGGGGCATGCAAGGAATCGATGGGGCATTTTTCCCCTCGGGACACCAGCACTACGCGTGCAGTCGTGCTGTGCTCTGGAGTCTTCTCCCGGGAAGTCCCTCTTGTTGTGCTCTTGTGCTGCACACAGCCAGCCAGACAACCGCAGGGAGGGAACAGCTCCTGGAGGGGCAGGATGACACCCGGAACAGCTCCTGGAGGGGCAGGATGACACTCGGTAGAGGCGTTCGGCCCGGGGAAAGGCCAACCAGAGCCCTCCTTCAGAAAGGCCGCAGGTCGCCCTCATGCAGACTAGCATGAGGAAGGAAGGTGGTCGAGGAGTGACCGCTGCGTCTTCCAGGCCAAGAAGCCGGGAAGGAAGATTTTCTGCACGCACTAGATGTTATTCCCTGCGCTTTCCACAGCGTTTGGCCCCAAGTAAACCACTTTTGCCTTTGTGGTGCCTTTTAATAACATTGCTATTCAGTGATGTTTTCCAAACAGTAAAGCTTTCCTTGAAGCCTTTGCTGATGTAACCGTGTGGTAACAGTTCAAGTTTCTCTAAAAAGGGTGTGGGAAAAGCAAAAAAAATCAGTTTTCTGATACACTGATAGTGGCTAATTTAGTTTACAATTTTTATTATGGCTTAAAAAGATAAATAAAAAAAAGACCCAACAACATAATAAATTTTGAAAATTCCCATAAATTTGGGGATAATTTTGTAAAATTCTTACAGTTCCCATTTGGAAATTTATTTTGAAAGGATTAAGTTGTAATTATAGACAGGCGTGAAACACTCAAATCAAGCTGACCTCTGCCATGCTCCACTGTACTCATCACTGTATGTTTTTACATACTAGCAGAGCATCACCTGATTTTTTTTCACATGATTGATTTGAGTGATAAGAAAATTAAATGTGTATAAAATCAGTACCCCATCCTTCTTACAGAAATCATATGTACATAAATATTTTGCACAGCCAGTTTCCTGTGCTATTTCTGGAACACCCCAACTTTCTATGAGTTTAATTGCCTTGTTTTATTATTTGCATTGTATTTTGTTATTTAGTAAGCTCCTAGTTAGCATGAGAAATAATGAGAGGGCTCTCAGAATGCACATTAATGCGGGAGCTTCTCCTCTCTGGCTGACATTTCCTATAGACCTCCTGTACAAATGTCATTTGGGAAAATAGTACTTGTCACAAATGTATCAGCGTGAGGAGCAAAGTAAAAAAAAAAAAAAAAAAAACTTAAACAAAAACAAGTTATTATGTATTTTCCTGCTTTTAATGGGAGAGATGCATTTCACACCATCACTAATATTGCGCAAATCACGGTACAGAGCACTTCATTACTGCCCGCTCTGGCAGTACGCGGCGGTGCCAAGGGTCAGCTAATACTATGCAATTCTGTTTGAGCCTGGAGATGTGAAAGGAGGACCAGCCATGAAATAGAAGGTCTTTGCCCGCGCTCCTGCGTCTCACTGAAGGAGCTTAAATAAAACATCGGGGAGCGAAAGGAGTTGAGAGTTCTTAGGGGTAGGCAGGGAACAAACCCTGCCAAGGAAGAGCCTCTGCTTCGGCACCGGGGGGCACGACCGACGGGCGAAGCCGCTGACGGGCTACACGGGCCCCCTATGGCAAATATTCTCAAGAGGAGACTCTAACTAAAATGTTTATTTTCACCTCTATGTATTGTCACAACAGTGCTGTGCACCACATCCACCGGCTGCCAGCTCCTCACATTCCCACTTCAGTCCTCAGCTTTTCCCCTACCATCGGGAGAACAAATCTGCCTAGGAATCAAGGCAGGATTGCCAGTCCACCTTTCCCTAGGCTGGGAGAGATAAGAAGTTGTCCTAAATTGGATAATCTTTCTGGTGACTTCGACAGAATTTGTCAGTCTGCCACAAACTACAAACCTTGCTGCATCTCAGGTTGTGCTGCAATCACCATTTCACAAAGGCGAAGGTGCCCACAGGATTCATAGGGGAACTGACAACTCTCCAGAATGAACACAGATTGCTTTACTTTGAACAGCGGTGACCCATTTGGTCACAACTAATTCTGCTTTCAAATTACCCCGGCCAGACACTACTGCCTTAGTGCTGTTGCCAGGAAAACACCATTTTCCTCCCTCATGTCCTTCCCTCCCTTCCTATGCTCCGCTTCTGATCGGAGGAGTCCCCGAGAGAAAGGCCTCTCGTGCACAGCCCTGCCTGGCCTCGGCCACCAGGGAGGCTGCACCGCGATGCCGGGCGGGCTCGGCAGCGGTGCCGGCGCAGCGGGCACCGGGATAAGCAGGGAACCCAGGGACAAAGCCGTGCCCACCGCAGCCCGGCCTTCCGCTGATCCCTTCCATCCAAACAGGGCGTTTAACCTGCAGTCACCTCAGTGACGGGGCTCTTCGTGTTTAGCACCTTCTCTGGATAGTTCAATATGAAGTAATTCCATTAATGTTTCATACTCTTGTTTCATTAATTTTTTGAAGGAAGAATGTATTATTAAATGTTCAGTCCCTTCTCTCTTATCAGCTCAATTAAGGTACAGGAGGTACATTCAAAAAGAAGATATCCTCCAGCAAAACCAGAATTAACATCTGATATTTTGAGGATTAAGAAGTCTAGCAGAACCATAAAAATAAAAGCTTTTCAAGCTCCTATTATGTACAACACACAGAGCGTGCAATGAAGTGCAGGTAGTATTTGTCATATCAAAAAGAATTGTGTCTGGTTGTCGTAATTTTTTTTGTTTGTTTTTCTTTTGACAAAAGGAATTTCATAAATGATGGGAAGCACGTTAAGAACTCGGCAAGGTAAACAACAAGTCATTGGAAAAAAGAAGACTGACACAGTTAAAAGATACAAATGTCAGAATTAAGGGTGCAGAGAAACTTTAATTTTGTTCTTTTCTTTGCCCGTCAACTTCTATCTACCTCAGTGAGCCCACATCCTGCTGTTTTGATTATCCATCAGGAATCTTGCATCCTGAATGCTATCACATTAAATATTGACAGTCATTATTAATTGTAAGCAAGCTCTACAATTAATTATAATTTCCCTGCTGAACTCATCGATCAAGTGATCAAACACTATCAGTTTTCTTATGATCATTTTGCAACTACCTATAGTCGAACAGACTTCCAAATATACTTAAGTATATATGGTAACATATAAATGGTTTCATTGCATGTGTATAAATAATGCTTGTGTAGACCACAATCTGTGATACCTTAGATCCATTACTTATTGCTACCTGATTAGCTGTAAAAACATAAGCAAAAGGCCTGGAAAAAAAATTCTGACTTTAAATTCTCTTAGAGGTAATAGCTGAGATTTAAATAGGTAACAGAGCTGAATAACTGACATAAACCAAATAATTGGGCTGATAATTACAGAAATTTCAAAATGTTTGCCTTATGCATGTACAGTTCCTGAGAAAAAAAAAAAGAACAGAAAAAATGGAAAGTATTGACATTTTCTGCATAAAAACACTTTTCCCTTAAAGTATTATAAGATATAATGAATTGATGCTGAGATTTAGGGTTTTTTCCTCATAACGCTGATATACAAATATTTGTTTATATGCCCCTTTTATCTGCAAAGAATAAAAGCAGATGAGTATCCAAAACATTAAATTTTCTTTGTGTCTTTCCTGGGGAATTTGATACAGAGTTCTGTTCCTAGATAAGTAAAAGACAGCGCAATCTAAAATCATTTCTGAGCCAGGCAAACTTTGCCTAGGTTGAATGCTAACGAAACAGTGCATTTTTTTGCTGCAGTTTTGGTTGGCCCAAAATTCCTCCTTAGCTTTATGCGTGCAAAACCATCACTCACAGTGTACAACTAAGAAAGACCTTAACCCTTTCTGCGTACTTGAGACAGGCAGTATTCTTCTCACTCACTTAATGAATCTGGTTCTTCAAGATCTTTCCTTGTACAAGGGTGAAATTTTAGTAGAGCATTTAGCAAATTTTTTGGAAACATTTTAGATTGTCAAAAGCATGGCAA